AAAATCTTGCTATTACCAATTATGCAAAAGTGCCGAAATTCAGTTACATTATTTGGATGTAAATTTATTCATAGACTCGTTTTTTCTTTTTTTTTTTTACAATAGAAAAATACAAAAAATAGTATATATCCAAATTTTTCTAATTTATATATATTCATTCAATGGAAAATAGATATCTATAAACTTAATTAAATTGCAATAAGTATTATTATTACTGCACAACAGTATTTATTATTTATAAGACAAAAAAAAAATGATTTGTTAAAATATCATCTTACCACAATACTGGATAAATAAAAATATTTATATACTTTTTTGTAATAAAATCTATAATTTTAAAATGAAACTAATGAACGTTTAGAATAATTTTGTTTGTTTTAATAATACAAATATGTACACTTAATAAAGGACATTTCCAAAACCTCGTTATTCGAGTTGAATAAATAAAAAATAATTTAGCTAGTAAACTATAAATAATAATTTAGCAGTAGTTAGATTGGCATAATAATATGAATAAAAATTTTGAAGTTATTAAGAAAAAAGTTAACTATTATTTTAAAAAAAAACTAATAATAATATTAGTATTTCTCCTAGACAAATCTTGAAAACAGCATGAAAACGCGTTTTTTATTTATTTATAATATTTTCTTACCAGTCCTTGGTTAATAAAATTATGATAAATATATTAAGGAAGTTCTGTAAATTTCAATTCGTAAGGTTAAGAGAGGCTATCTGTCTCTTCTTTTCATACACTCTGCCCATCTTCAAAGAAACCAAATGCCTCGCATTTTCATGTATATTCCCATTTATAATTGGAACTTATTACTTTAAAATCTGACAAATGTATTTTTTTTTTTTTTTTTTTTTTTTTTTTTTTTTTTTTTTTTTAATGAGTTTATTATTTTTTCTTTGTACATGATTAAGTTTTCGCTTAACCAGTCTGATACTTATTATTCATCCATTCGCGTTCAATAAAAACGGAAATACTCGTATAATTATTTTCGATATTAAACAATTTGAATTTTATAATAAAGTAATTTAATAGCTGAAAAGAATTATGTCTATGAATAAATAAAGTATTAAATCACTTATTATAAGTATCTATGTACATAATTACAAAAACTATTTAAATGTTATCCTTTTTTCAATATATTTTTCAATAAATTTTGAATTGAATCATTCATTGATTAGTTAATAAAATATTATTAATACTAATTTTAATATTTCAAATAAATACACTAATCAATGCTTTTACATATATAAACAAAAATTGTGGTGTATAAATGTTATAAAAGAAAGGTGTAGGATACCTTGAAAAAGCGCTAAACGAAAAGCATTTGTAAAACTTATATCTGTTTCAATTGATAAGAGCAAACATGTATTCTCCGTAGATATAGTATATAGAATTTTTCGAAGAAAAAAAATTATCATATTCATAATAGTAAATTAAATATTCTAATATTTACAAAAAAAGATTCACGCATTCTTATGTAGTTTATTGATCGTAAAATCTTCTTATTTTCTAATGTAAATTACACGTTATGATTAAAACAAATGCAGTTAAAATATGAACGAAAGACTAGTCTAAACATGCTTGTTTATGAAAAATTTTCAATAATAATCGTAATCAATTTACATAATCATAATATAACTATAAATTTTTGTTGTCATAATATGTTAAAGCACGATGGAAATGTCACACCCAATGAGTAAAATAATCAAAATTAGTGAAAACTAACATTCAATAATATAATTTTCAACAATAAAATACACATATCCCACAGTAACGAACATTTCAAATTTCCTTCATTTCCTGGCTTTCCTTAGCTTTTCCAAAAACTTTATTCTTATTATAAATCAAAGCAGAAATTTTTTATTAACATAAATAGTTGATTATATTGATTAAATACTTCATTATAAAAATATCCGAGCCTTTAAATTTTCTAATTTAATGCGATTGATAAATATCTCCCGTTCTGTTTAAAAGAAAAAAAGCAAATAATAACAAATGCTGATTCGTTTACAAATTCTGACTCGCACAAAATAACTCAACAATTCTTTTCAAAGAACTAATATAAGCGTAGAAAAACATCGTCTATAATTCCCCAGACGTCTATCCACTTATATTCCATAACTTCATTCTATGATCTACGAGATAAATGGACGCAAATAAACGCAACTTTAAAACAGCTTTCACTTCGCGTGTCACGGGGTCGCGTCGCGACGCTGATTAGCGACTCGGTGTATACGCACACACGAGCGCTATGTATGTGTTTGTCAACTTATCTTCAATGACATATTCCGTGATAGTCATCTCTCTCTTTCCATCCAGATCAATGCTGGGAGAATACGTTCGTGTAATAAGTTGAAAATTCCATGTTTGTGTAATGCGTTCGTTTCAATATGTCGATAAAGAAATTTTCTTATTCATATAAATCACACATATATAGCTGGTAATGTGGCTATGACATTTGGACTATTGGATTTGGAACAATATTAAATAATTTCGAACTTGGAGTTATCCCAAGATAATTATAAGGAAATAATTTTTAATGATGAAGACTCGAGAAACAAAAAAATAGTCGACTTGATTCGTCCGAGAATTGGCCGTTGAATTTTCAATCTGAACTATCATTGCCCACGTATTTCTTTATTTGAGTTGTCTTTGCATGAAAATCGCGATATGAATCCCAATTTCATAATTGCGCTACATCATATATTGATATAATACAAGTAAAATAAGATGTTAGATGAAGAAAATGATGTTGTAATCCAGTTCCAACGCTACTGGCGAAAATAAAAATAATAAAAATGTAGCTAAAAAATATATTTGCTTGAATAAAATGCTTGAAAAGACATTTCTAATTTTTGTATAAAGTTAAGAGTCTTATTATGTTCAGGCTATTTTTTTTCCAGCTAATCAATAACAGAGAAAAGTTTTACACTAAATTTAACGGCTGCACTTATATTCTATTAAATTTTAAATAAACAACGGATAATGTTGCAAAAACTTTATAACTCTGTATATGATCGCTAATAAAAACTTTACTTCAGCGCAGTGCGTAGAGCATTATTGAACTTACTAATAGTGAATTTAGTGTTAAAGTATGATTATATTGTATTTTTAAATTTCTATAAAATTAATTTGTACGTATAGAAATTTATCGATGGAATTTTGAAAATGAAATCTATCCGCGGATTTATAATATTTAAAAGCAGAGAAAATGCATTGCTACAATGGCTTAAATTTATTGCCAAATTAATGAAAGTACACATGTAGTTGTTATAAATTAGATAAAGTTGTAATACTAATATTATTAATAATACTAATATTGAAACAAAAGATTTTGTTTTTAATTCGATAATTTAATCGTTGGAACTGTAATTGCCATTTCATATAATAGTATGTGAACAAGATACATTACGCTTTAAAATAGAATAAAAATAATTTGTATTAAATAATTTCCGATTTTTTTTATTATTATTTTTTTTTAATTATTTTTTTGTTTTTGTTTTTTTTTATTAAATTACGAGTCATCGTCCATGCTCAGCTCAAATAATTATTTTAACGAAATCTGAATGTTTACGAATTGTGCAAGCTAATCCAGAATAAAATTGCAAAGACAGTATTTGTTACTCGATTGCCTTTACTTTATTTGTTTGCAAAGATACGTGTAATTGGAAAATAAAATAAATTATACAATATATTTTTAAACCGTATACCATTTCATAGTGAAAACGCAGTCAAAATTATAATGCAATTTGTAAGATGCAAATAAAGAATAAACAAAATTGTTAATCGTAAATTGTACACTACAACTAGAAATGCCACAATCTCAGTCATTTTTATGGAAAAATCTCTAAAATTTCAGAGACATTTACTTTATACGGTTGACAGCGAAAATACAAGAACAGTCTTTAATCCTCGTACGCTCGTTTCATGCATCATTATGTATTATGTATAAAGGAGCAAAGATTCATTCGGTGGTCGAACAATCTTTGACCGCTCCAATTGCACAGATTGCCCGCGTTTGTTTGTTTACGCTAGATCGATGAATGTGTACGGAAATCGAGTGCAGTTTAGTACAACAAAACAAGTAGATTCATCGCTTGCCTTTATTGTGCTGTCGTTTTACTATTTGTTTTTTTTTTGTTTATTTTTTTTTGTTTTTTTTTGGTTTTTTTGTTTTTTTTTTTGTTTTTTTTTTTGTTTGTTTTTGTTTTTATCGATACCAGCTCTTGCCTCGCGCGACAACAATTGCATTAATTGACCGTTTGAGAGGCCACGGGTGCTTACTTTATGATGTTTGTATTATTGTGTGTATCGACCTTAGTTATAATACCATCGGGACTGCATATAAATTTGAGACATTCAATCGAATATAGAATAAAAACTGGGTACTTACGTGAATAATGAATGCTGCATTTTTATTTATGTTTTTCAATGCCTCTTGTCGGGCAAAATTCGGATAACCGACAATTCTAATATTCAAATAAATTCCTTTAGCGCTAAAAGAATTTACACGAACAAAAGAATCAGCCGGTTAAATTAAATTAAAAGTCATATCCGACTTGATATCGCCTCGGTGGAGAGAGCTTAAATATTTCCTTCCGTAAAACCGTATTTAATCGCGGCTCTGATTAGCTAAATTCAAAACATTGCCCTCATTGCTTCATTACCTCTATATCCATAAATGTATATAATTCATAACAATATACCTCAAAACATTCCTTTATGATCGATCAAGATTAATAAAATATTTGTTTATTAAGCCAAAAATGTGCATATATCAATTAGTCTCGGGCATGAAAAGCTAGTTCGACGAAAATTCAGAAAAAAAAAAAAGAAAAAAAAACACTTAACTTATCGATATTGATGAATAAATAGTTTATAGATACAAATGTGAAATAGAGCAATGAAAGGTTCTTGAATTTGCCGGTAACGAAATAAACGAGAAGGACCTGCCGATAATTAAAATAGTGTCTTGGTCGGGACTTACCTGTAAGGAAGAACACCGTCGAGTGCTTGGGTCACTGTAGGTGGCGATGAGAGGGAAAAGCCGCGTCCAAGTAGAGCCGAATGCATGGAAAACGTCCGCTTAGCCGTCTCGTTCGCAAGCTCCACGTCCTCTTCAGCTTCCTCCGCTACAAAAAGAAGAAATTAACGTTGAATTACTGCGCTATGGTGTGCGAGCTTTTAACTTCGCTAGCTGAATCCATTGGTTTCACGACTAAGCTACTAATGTAATGGGGGTGAGAATAAAATTGTCGGTTTGCCGAAGCAACTCAAGTTTAAATTGATTTTGTTGTACTTGTACTTTTAACAACGATATTGTTAGATTTTTAATGGTACTTCGGGGTCAAGTCAAAATTATTGAGAGATTCAAAGAAAGAAAAAAACTAAAAAAAGGACCAAATTAATTATATTAATGTTTCACAATACGTTGCTTTCGCGGGGATATGAACTCGTATGTTTATTTAAATCATTTTAGTAGACTTAAGTTTTTTTTTTTTTTTTTTCAATAATTAGCCCAAAAAATGCGGAGTAAATAATTTAAATTTAATTTTTAAAATGTCATGAATGCATTCAAAATATCAAACTGTAAGTCTGGAATTGTTACTTAGAAATTGAGTTCACATGTACATCTTCACATGTTAAGAAATACTTTTTTCATTACTAATATTATGTGACGTTTTAATTTATTGCTCAACCATTGAATAAATATCGATTACAGTAAGCAATCTGTAATATTATTTTCTAATTACGCAATGCAACTGTATTTTATATGCTCTCTCTCTCTCTCTCTCTCTCTCTCTCTCTATTCCATAAAAGGAGGACAGGTATAGGAAGATAAATTAATTTTATTAATCATCACCAATGCATACTTACTAAAAACTAGTGGTAAGTTGAGATTCTTTTTCATCAGACTTGCTGCACAAGCTCCGCCAAGAAAGGACAATTCGATTTCAAGGTTTTTCAATCCAGAGTTTGTGGTAATCCAATCGTAACCAATAATCAAACATTTAAAACCGTAGGTAATGGATCGTTCATCTTTCATGTAATCGGACGCCGTTTCCAACGAAAATATTACCTCGTTACCTAAAAAAAAATTTATTAAATTTTCACTGCATCTTAAGAGTGGCGATAAAAAATAAATTCCACTTTTTTATTATGAAAATCCATTGTATGGAAATTTATTAGCTATTCAGTAGCTTGTGACATTTTTATTTTTATGGATCGACAAGCTTTTTTAACCGAAGTTGACGTTATGCTGAAAATCCAGGTCAAGTGAGTAAATATGAAATTTAAAAATATTAAAACTAAGGTATTAAATATTATATTAATGCATTAAAATTATTAATAAAAAATTTCATGATTTCTGCGCATTTTTCATTACTTGCAACATTAAAATTAAAATGCTTCAGTTCTGAAATCTAGATATATTAAAGTATAATATCATTTAGATATTTATATTGCGTACAATAATATTGTTTATTACTTATATCGGTCATATAATTCAAGTCTTATTAATAAATTTCCCATTACATTATTAATCGATAGGTTTAACTTTTCAACAAATTCTCACCACATTGTCAACTACGCGATATAATGACACGAATCATTGACCAATAATAGCTTGCTTAATTCAACGGCATATTAATAATATGTTAAAGCAAAAGATAACGACACTAAGCAAAGTTAAATAAAGTCAACGAAGTCTTGAACTTTTTGTCGGATCGCTCAACTCTTACCGCGCAACACGCTAATAAATTATTATAAAATGAAGCGGTGAAAGTGAAAGACGATATTAATTTCGTCTCGAGCTTATTCGGTAAACAAAAAACTAATTTTCAAAAAAATATTATTTATACGCGTGGAACTTGACGTCAATCACTCTGACATTCATATAAAATTAAATCATAATTATCGTAAACTCACCAGGTAATACAATAGCACTCTGCGGCCATTGGCTTTGAACATTGCTTAGCTTGTGCAGCACTGGCCAGTATACGGGACTTTCATCCAGATTGCAATTTTCGAGAGATCTAATTTTGCGAAATCGAATAAATATTTTATTACATTAGCTTAGATATTAAACGACACTTTGATTATATTTAGCGCTTGTAACTTGTAGCCACGTGACTCTATATAAGAAGGCACTTAATAACAAATTAATAAGCTACTATAGCCTAGTCTTTTTAGAGTGTACAAAGTGGACATTCTACGAGCCCATTAATTAAACGAATTCCTGAAGATTGATTAATCGACATACAATTAGCCCATAGAGCAACAATCGAATCTAGATTCGATAAAATTTATTAATTCATATCGTAAATCTGGATTTACGATCGAATGTCGGAATGTAGAGTGTAATGAACGGAGAGGAAGAGATATGGAAAAAGATAAAGTTAAATGAAAATGATGTTCCCAATAGCTGTGAAGCGCCCCTCGCACGTACCAATACAAACTAAACAGAAGCTACAATAATGTATTGTCAGTGTCGAGGATCCGACCCAAATAAACCAAATATAGCCCGGCAGCACTCGTATGTAATAAGAACATCAATAATTATTCCTCGCATCGTTAAGTCATTTAAGCGAGTCTGGCCCGAGCTTCGACTCAAAGCTTTGTAAGCCAAAGTAGCCGAGGTACGCGGACACCCCTCACGCACGCTCCATTTCAATGGATCAATCGTTGCTATCTACTCACTTTGCACCATTGGCATCGACGTTCGGAATGTAAAGCTGCAGATAGTCCTCCGGCTGAGCGGTGCCGCAATCCGGGGTGAATTCCACGGTGAGCCACTTAACCGTTTCGGGAAAGGTGACTTTATAATAGGAGACCGTTGCCGCTTTGTAGGGGTGATCGCTCTCCAGCCACGTATAATAATGACTAGTGGTAGTGGCTGGAGGTGAAAAATGTGTACCGGCTGTTTGCTGCGTCGCCCCGTCATTGTCTTGTTGATGGAGGGACGTTTGAGAGGACTTCATGCCCGTAATGAGATTCAGAGCCGTCACGTGCGGCAGCATCTCTTGGATCAGGGTTAGTACTTGGACGCCACTCTGCAAAAGTGTCGTAACTTTAAGAGCTCTCCAACTCATGGATCTCATATCTGGCGCATCTTATATTGTTATGGGGAGAAAAATGTATTATGCGCTGGGGCGGAGTGGCTTTGCTCGCCCCATCCTATAGAGGATGATGTAAAGACTTTAAAGTTAACGATTTCATTCATTCGCGAACGAGTATAAGGAGATTACAATAGTTTGATTGACATTACTATTACATTGATATTATTCGTCTCAAGATTATTCGTGCTTTGAGATCGCGTTTAATTGGCTTCACGAGCAAAAGAGAAAACCACAAGATGCTAAGTTATATAATTGTGATATTCAAGGTATTTGACTTGATATTATTCGAGAATTATTAAATTTTTCCCCTTAAATTTCTAGCCGGTTATGATTTATATAATTGTTCTCATAAATAATGCAATGGTATTCGAGACAGATAGTTCAAAATGCATTTAAAAGCTTTGTGGAAACAAGTAAATTTTTATTTTGAATTCTCTATACATTAATGATGGCCCTTTAGAACTGTAAACTATGATACGGAAATTGTATTTTTTTTTTTTTTTATCATTGGGTATATACGTATATATATATATATATATATATACACATATAATATCCTTATAAGAACAATTACTCATTTAATTATGAACTTGATAATGAATCAATTTTTATTCAATTTCATCGGTAATTATAATAAATTTCTCATTTTATGCATATTTAACTGTCGGAAAAAATATTAATAATATTAATAAACTATAAATAATCAAAGTGTTTATTAAATTTTAATCCATAGACAGTTAATATTAACAATTACAAAATAAGCTAAAACAAATTTAATTCTTAAATTAAAAATAAAAACTTTTCAATGAATTTTATACAATACCGGAATCTTATTATTACATTAATTTTAATACACACACGCGCGCGCGCATGTATAGCCATATCAATTTGCTCTATTTACAATGCAACCTTTACATTTCTCAACTTGAATATATGTAATATACATTTATATAAATAATTTTATATCTTACAAGTTCCTTACAATATAATAACATTATTCCTAAACTTACTCGTAATTTAAATATTCTAAGAAATACGTTAAAATATGAATTTTTAATGAGAAAAAAACATTAAATTTCATTACACTTGAAAAACTATGTTCCAAAAAAAGTATTCCAGCACATAGAAAAATAGTTAATATTTGCAATAATATTTAATCCTGACAAAATTAAATACTCAACATAAATACAGCAAGTCTTTGGCTACTTATTTTGGTTAACTTGAGCTTAAGGCTATAATGTCTCATCCAATTTCTTCACTATTCTTTCTTATTTTAACGATTATAATTTAAAAATTACTTTACATTATAAGATATTATAATATTCGATTATTTTATATTTTATTTTTTGAATGGCTTATATATAGAATACAAATAAATATATACCTATTTCATCGCTCGAATTAAGTCGAACCAACGTCATTAATTCTCATATAAATAATCTACTTTAACCTACGCTTCTCATATGATATCAACGATAATCCAAAAGAAATGTGTCAGTTTGATAAATTATGAAATATCTTACTCGAGGATCTGATGCTGCTAAAGGAATAATGTACGCCGTCGTCAATGGTAGAAGTGTGGTAACAAATGCCGCGCTACCAAGAATTTCATTAACATCGATGTCATCGGCTTTTTCTCTCGCGAGAGCTAAAATATCATTAGCACGTTGAACGACAGTGGCGGTCATTGCTAAAGTGCATTTTCTTGCCTGCACTTCAGCAATAGCTTTACTCGTATGCTGTTCGTTAGTGTCTTTGGGATTGGAATAATACAGGATATGTGGAATTTGACCCCTGGCTTGTGTAGTACCTTTAATACAAACAGACAATTTCATTTATTTAACCTTATTCTTAATGATAATAATAATAATAATAATAACAATAATAATAATAATAATAGTAGTAGTAATAATAATAATAATAATAATAATAATAATAGTAGTAGTAGTAGTAGTAGTAGTAATAATAATAATAATAATAATAATAATAATAATAGTAGTAGTAGTAGTAGTAGTAGTAATAATAATAATAATAATATGTATTGTATAGTTGGGGGGGGGGGCATTAATTTTTACACTAAAGTCGTCTATTTTAAATACTTGTGAAATAAATATCATAAATATCACTAACCATTTGAGCTTAACGAACACGCTGAGAAAATGAATGATGTACCATCGGGACCTTTGACAACTCGCAATCCTCCATCTCCGTTACTAGTTCTGCCACCTCTGCTTCTCAGTCTTATCGCATATTTATTCTTTTCCTTAATAGGAATGGGCTTGTCAAATTTTATTTCGACTACGTCATTAATACAATCGTCCGGACCAAAGGAGCCTCTTGTAAAATCAAGACTGCTCCAATGCTGCGTGTGAGAAGGATCGTTTCCAGTGCTGTTACGCTAAAGAAAATAAGTCTTTCATAATTTTATAAAATTTAATCAATAATGGCACTGCATTATAAAAAAAGTCATATTTAATACTTTTTTAATAAACAAATATATATATATATATATATATATATATATACGCACGGACGCGTGCACGCACGCACGCACACACACGCACACGCACATATATCTATAAATTGTAATTATAAAATATCATTTATATATTCAAAGGTCTAGATTTAAACATATTTATTATTTCTATGAAAAATTTATCAAAATTTACTTTCTTCGCGCACAACGCTTAAAATAAAATGCATATCTTAGTTATTGGAACGAATTTTTTGGATTCAATTATAGATAGAAGTACGACTTATTTTTAAAATAATTTCATTTGTCTATCTCAAATTAATCGACACTGCATGCTGTTATTTAATTTTCATACGGAACAAGCGAGATGTTTTAAATAAGAGATTACTTTCACTTTACACAACAGCGAATATTATGTATGGCATTGAAATGAACAGGTTGTGTTGCTATTTCCCAACTGTAAGAGCTCGAGGACTGCCAAACTTATGCGCGATCGCGCATTCATCATTAATTTACCGGCAACCTTCGACGAATAACAGTCCATAATAGCCAAACACCATAAAGACGTGAATATTTGTAAAAGACTTACGTCATCCAACAGGTCGAGCTCGTAATCGTATACACCAGCACCACCATAGATCCCAACTCCAGCAATGAGGATTCCCGGCCTATCAACGGAAAAGCAGACGGCATCGGGCGAGCCGTTACCAGTATTCCAGGACCTTGTTTGGTTAACCCGCGTGAATCTTGACGGCGTC